GGGGGGCCGCATTACAAAATCGATTGCCCCACCTATCACGAACAACGCCTCCAGCAGAGGACCCAATCCCGGAAGGGGAAGGGCAAGGGCAAATCTGATCGCCCACGCCCTTGGGCGCCAGCAGCCCATCAGTGGCGAGTGGTGCCAAAGCCCTCGGAGGGAAAGGGTGCAGCCGGAAGCTCTTCGGACGCCGTTGTCGGGCCGCCAGAGCGCACCATTGCTCAAGACATTGCAATGAAGGGCGCAGCCAAGGCCAAGGGCAAGGGCAAGAGCGATCAGCAGCCGAAGGGCAAGGGCAAGAATGAGCCGCAGAAGGGGCAGTATAAGTCCGAGCCATACAAGGGGCATGGCACGGAGAAGGGCAAAGGAAAGCCTGCTCAGGAGCGGGTGTACTATGGCGATCGTGAGTGGTCCGGATCTTGGAGTTTTTCGTGGAAGTGGACCACCTCCCGGGGATGGTACTGGGAGTGGGACCCATCGTGTGTGTCTTCCATGCTAACAGGAACGTTAGCCGGAATGCTTTCTTTCTCTTGTTGGCATGTGAAGTATATGGATTTCAAGTTCGTTACGCTAACGGGAACGTTAGCCGACATTTTGGCTAACTGTTTCAACAGCGTTGCGAACCGGAAGGTTTGCCGTGTCCATTTTGGCTGGCACGCCTTGTGCATTCATTTTGTCAATAGTAATTCACGGTACATGGCACCCGTGGCGTCTTGTTTGGAGTGGTAATGCTCCCGTGATGCTAGGTGGAAACCTAAGCCGTGTGTTTTGCCTTTTGCAGCAATCCGCCAAGCGCACAAAAAGAGCCGAACCTTTCTTGCAACTTTCTCCACAACAACCACGCATTCGTAGGTCATGCATATTGTACATTAGCATTGCAGCCTGTCCTGAGGTCTACGATGGCTGCTTTCTGCCTCTTCGGTGCTGCCAGTGAACTGGCGGCGCCGCGGGGGGTATTTTTCACAGCTACTGTACATAGTCATTGCCCTAACGACGCGTATATTTGGCTCAAGGAAAACTGGTGCTTATAGGTTGTTTCCTATCTGAAATAATCTTTTTGATGGCTATGCAGCATGAAAATTTCCGATTTTTGTTCAGCCCGTTGCCGGCCCGTGGCCCTGCCTCCTTAACTAAGTAGGCGCCTACTTAAGTAATAAACTTGCTACTAGCTACTTAAGCTACACTGCTACACATTGACGCAGGATAGCGAACTACGCATTTTGTTCCTAGATTTTGAGGGAAACTGAGATGCAAAATAGAGCAGATGCATCATTGGTTGCTTGAGGCTTCATCTGTGGGAGCCCAAGGCAGAGGCACCAGCGACAACGAGCACCACAGGGCAGCCGAGACCGACCTTGGCAGATGCCTTCGAGGCCGTTTTGATTGCTTGATGCTGGGTCTCAATTTGTATTGAATGATTTTATGCTCACGGTACTAGTGATGTTCATAATTTAATATGTGAATATCACATCACAATAAGCTAGACTATAGACATCTATAGACTCTCCCCACCCACTTCCATTGCCCAAATCAGGACACGGGAAGATCTCAGGGGCCCTGGGTCTCCAAGTGACGATGGTACCCATGCGCAGACGTATCACTTCCCTTATATACCTTTTTTGATCCGTTTTCGCTCCTTTTGCAGGTCACCGACCGCTGGACAAACCTCGGGCCTATCACTGACTTTTGCACCAAGGAACAATTGTTAACCGTTAACCGCATTTGTTAGGTTGCAAAGTGTAGGCATTTGGGTTCCAATCCATCCTGTGCACCATGAAGAACAGTTGATGCACAATGAACTGTTGCTCTTCAAGGTGTTGCCATCTTTGCTTTGATCCCGTGGCTTGTGATTGTTGCATGTAAGCCTCGCGTGGATTGGAGAGCGGCAGGAGGATACCGACGGCCTGACTAACCAAATCATCACGTGCAGTGGCGCCGGTGAGAAGAGTGGCTCTTTGCGTTTCATCGAGATGGGCATTCCCGTTGAAGAGTTGGGAAGTTCAGAAGGCCAACCTGACGAAGTTGGGGGCAAAGGGACGGAAGCACGTTTTCTTGTTGAGCGAGTATACTCTGGTCGCCTGAGCTGGATTCGCACGTTTTTCTGTTCAGTTGATGCGCACAAAGAACCTGTGCTGGATTCCAACAGTTTCGAGTGCTGGGAGGCTTCGGCAACGTGCTTGGCATGTGGGCACTGGGTTCGCACTTCCTGGTGCTCACCCGCTCCAATAGTACTGAAGTCCTACGTATTTCAGAATGCCCCTCAGCAGAATTAAAACCAGGCAGCTGACTGGAGTGGTTTGACAAAGCTTGGACTTCGTTGCCTTGTGGCAACCAATCTCATGGTCCAAGCTTTTATACAGTGACAGGTAGTAGTCATGTCTTTTTTGTTGTCATAGTTTGCTTTTGTGAGGAACTTTCCCAGCTGACTCTCCGACTCTTACCATATAAGGGAGCATCCAAATCTAAAAGCCGATGAACACATTTCGCACATTTCGTCATTTAGGTGCCTTTGGCCTTTGTTATGGCGTTGAAGCTCATTAAATGAGGGACTGGCAGGCAAGTGACCCTAGATAAAATATGATAAATTTACTTTGCTTTGGCCCACGGATCACTAGTAAAAGCGATCCGATACTTTAATTTTGATACCAAACTCCATCAACCACTTTACATGCCACTTACATCCATTTACCACGCGCCCAGCTGGGTGTGGTTCGATTGGTTGAGCAAGTGAACAGCTATATACATAGTACTATGTATACTATATATGCCCCCAAACAAACAAGGATGATGGAAATCCATACAACGAATGCGTGGGGTTCCCGAGAACATTTCAACTGAGCCTGGCTTCGCAAATAGAGGTCAGAGTGGCGATGGAGATTTCTCCCTGGAAGTTTGGGCGAAGACAGCTGGCCTCCAATTAGAGGAGGAGACTCTGCTTTGTTGCGGCTTCGGCCTCAGCAGCGACTCAAGCATCGAGACTGGCTTGACTTTGTTTTCGCAGCTGCAAGCTAAACGATTTTAAAGGCATTATCCCACTTGGAATTGGTTTCAGTGAGTTGACGAGGTGTTTGCGACAGAGTCGTGATACAAGTGACCCAATCTGGTGTGTGGGCTATGAACTCAGAGAACCTCGCGCCGGTTTCTGAGCAGCCTGACAGCACTTTTGCAGTGCCCAAATCTGTCGATTGCCAACATTGCTATATGTAGTAACAAGTGCCACACTAGTAGTAACAAGTGCCTTACTAGTAGTAACAAAAAAGCTATTAGAATTAACACTAAATTAATAGCTTCTTGTTTGTTGGGCGTGCGATGGTGGGTCTACTATGTTTACCTGGTGGCTGATGCCTTGCAAGACTCACAGGATCCAGCAGGACATCACAGGACTTGTCCATAGTGACGCTCATGCTTGAAGCATCTTGAAGCCTACTGAAGGCTTCTGTGGGAATGGCCTCCAACCTAACAGCAATGGCCTCCAACCTGGAAGCGATGGCCTCCTCCAACCTAGAAGCAGTGGCCTCCAACCTATGAATAGCGGTGGTCTCCAACCCAATAGCAATGGCCTCCAACCGAATAGCGTTGGCCTCCAACCGAATAGCGATGGCCTCCAACCTAATGATGGCTTGAAGCCTACTGAAGGCTCCTGTGGGGATCCCTCCTGAGGTGGACAGCCGGCGCGCCTTTCCTGACAGCTTCCGAGATGAGAGGTGGACAAGGCTGTTGACCGTGTTGTTTGGTGTGATTCGCAGTCGGTGATTGAGATTTGTACAAGGCTGCCTGATCATCAGCTAGGGCTTCCCTATAGGCAACCCGAAGAAATCTAACTGCATAATTTCGCATCCAGGCACGTAGAATGCATGTGTGCAGAGATTTTTGACTAGAATTTGGTCCAGCAGGCTGATATGTGCGCATGCTGGAGCAGGCTTGATAGTATGCGCAATACGGCATGTGACTTAAGCTCGAACAGATTGCAGGTGTGATGCTTGCAACGCAGAAAGGAGATGTCTATGCCATAGATTTCCAAGAAGGCAAGGCCAAAGACTAAAGACATCAAAGACTGAAGGCATCTGAAGGCGATTCCCGGGCCCTGCAGGGGCCTGCAGGGCCCTAATTTTGGCATGTTTTGGGACCAGTGTACCAGCCTTTACCGAAAATACCACTGATACTACCTCTGAGACATCAAGAAACAAGAAACCAATACACATTTGATGCGTCCCATCAGTCTACCATTGATCCCTTTCTTTTGCTTTGTGCATTCTGCTCACCATATCTTGTATTATTGTCCAGGCTCACAGCGCCTGATCAGTGCGGGGGAATGGCAACTGCGAAGACACTCGCATTCAAAGCCGGACAGTGAGCGGGACTGGGACATGGGAGTTTTACCTTGACTTCCTTGGATTGCAACCTCACAGCGAGGCACATGCGCAGATCAATGATCAATGCTATTTGCAGGCCCTGATGATGCTAAGGATTCAAGCTTGCAGAGTGACATCCATAAAGTAATATATATACAGATAACTATATATATATACAGTAGCTGTAGCCAAACCACATTCGCTTTGGATATTGGCCATTTGTTTTGTATGGCGCGGGCCGGGCTTCAACAGTTTTCAGCTGCTATTGAGTGCATGACAATGATTTTTAGGGCACTTGGACTTTGAACTGTGACCAAGCTGACACGCAATTGACGCGCTTTAAGCTGTGCAGGTTTAGCCGAGGATAAGGTGGTGACGCCGTTTTATACATTTTATACCATGTTGAGTTTTGCTTCGCTTGTACCCGCTTGTACCTTCATTTTTTCATTGTTCAGTATGCTTGATGTTGAGTTCAATCTCCGCTTTAGCTTTTCCTGGGGCGTGTTTGCCTAGCTCATAGCAAATCCTGAAATTTGAGGTGAACCTAGCTGCTTGGCAGCTACAACACCATGGTGTGCTGCCGGGCTTTGGAGTGATGAGCTTGTCATTTGGGAACGCAAGAAGGTCTGAAATTCATCGAAATTCTGCATTGCTGTGAGTCATGCCATTGATGTCAATTCCCGAGTCTTTGATGTTGCAGCACATTTTTGGTTCGGTCCATGTTTGTTCAGGACTTTTGGCAGTCCCTGACCTTGCCAACTCTTCCCCGGTCCTTGGCATTTCTTCGGTTCTCGGCAGTGCCACGACAGCACTTGACCGAGTGCGACGCATCCACAACGGGCGGGGATTCGCTTCAATTGCAATGTTTGATTGCTCCAGTCACGGTTTCAGGTTAGGTTCCGGCACACAATCTGGGTTCCAGTGCTTGATGCTACAAGAGGGGGCAAATACAATCTTCAGGTGCATGGGTCAGTCGTTCGGTCATCATTTATTTCAAGATATGTCAAGCCTCCGGCCTGTTCCATAGGCCTCATGCCCGTGTTTTGCAAGTCAAGTCATGGGAAGTGTCATTCGCAGGATGGAACGAGGAAAGGGCAAAGGAAAGAGCCAACGGAAAGAGGAAGAGGAAAAAGGTAGAGGAAAGCAAGAAGGAAAGGAAGAGGATGAGAAAAAGGACAAAGACACAGGGAGAGAAGGGAAAAGGATGGAAGAGGGGGATGTTGTACAGTTGAGGCGAGAATCTAAGAAAGGGGCAATTGTACAACTTAGCTACAACATAACATAATAACAACCGGCAAGCTGCGGCTGGTGGTTTCTGATGCTAGAACTCTGACGGTCGCCGCCTCTTCCATGCGACTCCTTAATAAGTATAGGGCGCCTCTCCCACAACGCCTTTGTTGAACCATCTTGGCGGCTATGTTCTTGCCGCGGGGGTGCTGCGCCAGTTTCTAGTGTGTATTTATTGCAATTAACAAATTTGTTATAGTATATAATAATAGGTCTATGAAATATGAAACCGTTTGCTGCTTGGAATGGCTACCAGAGAAATGGGTTATTGGTGCCGAGGCCCATGAGCCAGAGCTTAGGCTATTCGCGGGACTTTGCGATGGACGTGTGTCGGTTGTAACGGTGGACGGTGCATGGAGACTGCAGCATACTGCAACTCGGAACTGTTCACATGTTGCCAGTGTTCGCAGCATTCCCTACTTTTGAAAATGTATGTTTGATTTTGAAGTATGTTCATTCTCTAAATGAGCAGAGTGCAGCATAGTGTAGTTTACCTTCGGTAGTGACCCGGTATTGCTGGCTGACCCTGTCATGCATGACATCACTCGTCTCACCTTCAAGTTTCCAGCTTACCACATTTGGATTCGGCATGATTATATAAGAGAAATAGGCGTGGCTGGGCTTGGACCTAATTAGGTTGCAGTTGGATTGCAGCCTGTGCAGCTGCTGCCTTTTCCTGGTGCTGCAGATGTGGAGACTGACATGGGAGCCTCGCATAGTTCTTTTGGGGGATGCCATTCAACATCCCAATATCCGATATTCCAGTGAGAGCCCTTTCCATGTCCTGCAATGAGGACCCAAGCTACCATGGGGTCAACCCTGCGAAGGTGCACAGGACACTGGAGCCAATTGGAGCGGAGAATGGGCAGATTCTCATTTGCCCTTTGTTCTTGCCAGGAGCAAGACCGTTTGCTTGCTATCAGCGGAAAGGGTAGCATACTGCAGGCACCTTTGTCCATGTTGGTAAACTTATATACGATTCATTTGACATCACACACTGTAAACACTGCACCGCACAGTCAAGTTGTATTTTGTGAGCTCGATAATTTGTGAGGCTCAATCCCAGCGTGTCCTCCGCTGGCAGATATGCCTTCCAAGCATGTCTCATGCTGCCTGCAACTCAGCCCAAACACGTTGGATATCCAGCATGGCCGGTGGGCGGACATTCCAAACAAACACAACCACAATTATATATATATAATGTAAAGTGTTGGCTGGCAATGGTTGAGAGTACAACAGGCTTTGTATGCGGAGATATGCCGAGAGATGATGCGATGCAAAGATTTGTGAAGTGATGCAGTGAGGTTTAATGTAGTTCTTGTGATTTGTCATGTGGTGAAGTGTAACAACATCATCTGAAATGGTGCTGGCATGCTGAAGCCTGGGGCGGTGACGTGCAAAATGTGGTGATTTTTGACGTTGTCATGTTTAGTTCGACATTTCCAGACGCAGGAAACGAGGATGACTGTAGCGCTGCCTCAGGTTTGTCCTGAAGTCTTTGGCTCAGCTTGGAGTCATGTCACATGCAAAAAAAAGGGCCTGATCACTCCAATCTTGGGACAACGGCCTCAGAAGGTTCGACAGCCAGATCAAGAAGGCATCATCCTGTGCCCCCTTTGGTAGCATGTCGTGGAAGACCCGTGCAAGGCTGTCGTCAAAGAACCACCATCCCTCTGGCGTGGTGCTTGAGCCACGTGTTGAAGTGACCTGCCCTGCTCGTACCATGGTGGCAAACAAACCCAAGAATCAAGAACTTCTGGTGGGAAATCTCAGTGGAATTCATAGCAAGGATGGGCATCATGACATGAGGGTGTCTCCAAATGTCACAGCCGGATCACAGCCTTTGACCTCTCCAATGATGGCATGCAAGGTGTCGATGGCCAGGCACATGGCTTCAGTGGTACCTGTCAGCCCAGCGCGCATGCCAAACAGGTAGGTCCAGGAGCCTATGACCATTTGCAATGGCACTCTCTTGTCGTGACTGCCAGTGTCAGAAACGCGAACGCTCTCAAGGGTTGAATATCGTCTTCCCCACAAATGAGAGAGACCTGGAACATGAAGCCAGTTGCACATGTAATGCATGCCGTTTGCGGCGCATTGTTGGCCGTTGGTGCTTCCCCATGATTCAAACAATGGTGCTAGTGCAGCTGTGCGGTGAAGCCAGGATTCCCCCTGCCGGCATTCCGTAAACAGGCCCAATGGACATCTCCACCAGACACATCCCCTGCCTGACTCGCAACCCCATGCACTTCCATTCCCTGGCGCATCCAACTCAACCAACCCCTGCATCAAGCACCCCAGAATTTTGCCACCAGTGGGAGTACTATGGGGTACTATATACTATATATATAATACTAATTACACTGACACAAATATATATATATATATATATACTATTATGTACCATATAGTGTTGTACTGTACCCAGCGATGAAGTAAACCACCCGGGCAAACTTAACTGCAACCCTTTGGCTCCAAGACCTGCTTCTTTCCGAGTGGTTCGTCCGTGCAAACCCATCTCCTATTTGCCACACATGTTTACTCAGAACTTTCTCGAGGATTTTGTTGCCAAAATCTATCGGCTCGATTGCTGGAAAACATAAATTGCCAGGAGGTTGTACTTTGTGCTGTAAGAATTGATGTCCAGACTTGATTTTGGCATCGAGGCCTTTTTCTCTCACGGCTTTGGCTGCATCCAACACTGTATGGCTTTTATTAGTCATGAGCGCCATTCCTAGCACTGAACGTCCGAAGACTTGAAAACTCCAAGAGCCGCTGTGGGCTTTGATTGGTGGGATGATGAGGCGGTTGCTGCTCGCACTGCTGCGGCTTGGTCAGCGAATAGATGTGCGAACTGTCCCGCTGCCGCAGGCACCCCGCAGGACGGACATGTGTTTGGATGTTTTTGGCAATTCTAGCTGTTTTAGGCAATATGTTGCTCCTACATTATTACAGCAATTATGTATATATTCATTATAGTAAATAATGATATGTGTATTCTTATTGCCGTTTCTTCTACCTTGGCGGCTCCGTGAGAGAGATCCAGGGGTTTGTTTCAAGTGTTTAGTTGGAGTATGCACTTCACAAGGGTTCTATGTTTGGGAGGATTTGCTACCATACTGGGAGCCGAATCTGCGTGGTTGGTTGCTCCGACCTGCCCTCCATATCCACTCCAGACATGTTGCACACTGAGCTAGGAGGAAGATGAAAAATAGATGAAACTAGCTTGCCTGTGATACGCATAATTCGGGGCATATCCAAGGCCGAGAACCAGATCCAGAGCCAACGTGCAATTTGTCCACTCCGAAACCACAGACTTGCTGGGCACAATGACCTTAGGGCAGGATGTGCCTCAACCCGCACTTTCACACCTGAGCATTCCTTTTTTGGTTTGCTCATGTCTCTGAGGAGATGGTGGCATCGGTCGTTGCAGTGACATTTGCCGGGGACTGTACTGAATACATAGCAGCCAGGGTCCCAGGAAGGGCCAACTTAGCAGCCAGAGTTGTAGCACATGTCTACTCAGAGTCTACGACACCAATGTAATGAACTGGTGCTTCCGAATGCAAGCGGATGGGACGCCCACCTATCACAGGTTGGTACAGCGATCGTGTTGGACAACGAGCCAGAGCCCTCACGGGGGCAGGCCAGGGCAGTCGTTGGAGCGGTTGGTTGATATTAGGTCACGGGATGCTGAGAGTTTTGGAAGGTTCTGTTGCTAGCGCTTCGGGGCGATACCTCTGTACAGACTGCCAAGTGCGGCCCTGGCCCCAGAGCCATTAAGAGATTTGCAATGATTCGCTCATGTTCTGGCTGGATTTTAGGTTTGGACGAGGCGGGTCAGCTGGCGGGCTAGCTCTCCCAAGTGAAGTGTCCAAAATTATGTGTAAGGTTTGGAATTTGGTTAAATTAAATGCCCTTGTTACTAGTAGGGATGCCCTTGTTATATACCAGTAGCTACAGTAGCTTGTTTATGAGACGCCATGGCTATTCGTATCTATTCGTGACTGCTTCGAATATGTTTCGTTAGTGTCACAGGCCGTCGTGCAGAGACGTTTTGAACAATTCGCAGTGTTACCAGCAAATGCATCGTGAGACATCATGTTGGCCCAGTTTTTTTCATGTTCCTTCAAGGTATTGCAGACGCGACTGGCCCCTCATTAACGTTGCTCCTAAACCTGAAATTGGACTGTGAAGGTACATACTTGGAGAAGCTGAACATGTGAACACCATTTGGGCTTCATACATTTCCTTTGATAGGGACATGTATTTCCCCTTATTTTCCTATTTTTGTATTTTTCCAGCTGATGCTGTGCGGATGCTATATATATATATTGATTTAGCAGCGATCCTATCACAAATCAGTGCAAACAGAAGCTTTCAGCAGATCCTGTATGCAGACAGCACATATTGGTAGTTGCAAGAGCGAGACTGTCAGTCACAGACAACAGGGCACTTTGTGGAAGAATGATCACGTTGATTGGGACACTTTTTGGGTGACAACAAATGACGGTAACGTTGTGCACGTAGGACGGACACAAGAAGCAAACAGCAACATATGAATTGAATGAATAAGTTACCTTTGCATAAGGCAAAAACTGTTGGAAAGTGCGGGCGGACGAACTGTGCATTTGGGATTGTGATCAAGAGAAGAGAGAGTCCAAAGAATACAGCAAAATTAAGTATGCAGAGGCATTGCACACTCAAAAAACTTTTCCTTTTTGGAGGCAGGCCCCAGTGACGTACCAAAAGAAAGCATACATGCAAATTCAATGCTAGTTGTTTTGTAGGTCCAAACTGCATGCATCAACTGACTAAAGCCGCTGCCACCCAACTGGAAAGTTTGATTTTAATCCACTCCAGAGTTGCTTGCAAGAGACCACAGAAGCAGAAGGCCACTGAACGAGACCACTGGAGCTCTACACGGGAGCTGATCTAAAACTCCGTGTAAGGAGTTACATAGTTATAGTTATATATATATATATGATAGCCTTTCAGATGTTCTTAAAACCATCCGCGATGAGGTTCGCGAAAGTATCTTGTGTTTAATCCACGAAAGATTTATCGAAGGTCTTCGCTTTCATATGTGTTCCTTTCTACCGACCGACAAATGGTAGAAATACAAAGCAATCCTCCGGCAGAGCCGGTGGGCGGAAGTGTCCCCATTGTCACAGACTAACGAACTGAAGCCTCAACATGTCCTTTCGCAGTGCATAAAGGGTTCTCCGACTCCTGTCCCCACTGTCATAGACTAGCAACCTGAGTAGGCACAGCCCTGACAGTGAGGCGACGACCTGCAGCTGCTCTAACGGGCTGTGCAGATGTTTGCGCATGTTACGCTGTTACGCATTCCCGGAGAAATCATCAGTGAAATTTCGCGAAGGACCCACGAAAGTTTCGCACGTGCGCCGCTAAGGTCCAGAGGCCCCCCAGAATCCCCCAAGCTGCACCACCCTGTGCTGGTAGTCCAGTTGTGCTTGACTCTATTCATAGTTTATTCTAAGCCTGCGCCATGACTTAGGACCTCGAATACTGCTTGTCGCACAGATGCTGCAAGTAACCCCGGGTAGCTGTGGAATTCTAAACCTTCTGCCGGGCTCATGTTGCAAGATGTCAGTCCTACTTTGCGATACAAACATGACTAGTTCCGGCTCATGCTACTGTTAGCTAGACATGGTTGTAGGACCATGCTTCGCGATGAGGCCGCGAAAGATCATTTTTGCTGCGAAGAATGGCCATTCCAGGATGAAATAATATTGACGAACCACCATATGAAGGACTGTTGTAGTTACTAGTTTCAGTCATGAAACCACGCTCGTGGACATACAGACGGGAGAAGCTGGGAGAGCAAAAAAAAGGAGACAGGAACTTAACGGAGAAATCCCTTTCGGTTGAGTTCGCCACCCGCGGTTTCTAGCTGATTTAGCTGCGGCGCCTGCTGCTGTCCTCACCTCCGAAACAGGCTTAAACATTTTTTAGTGATTGAGAGATGTTGAGAAAACAGGTTCAAACAGTGGCACCGGGTTCTTGAGAACTTGACAGGAGCCACCCTTCCGGCTGGTGTGCACCTTGGAGGTGCCTGGTGCTGTCTACACGCTTGTGGCCTTTCAACAAATGCTGTTGGGTGCAGTGACTAGGCATTCACTCAGGTGTACTCCGATTTTTTTGCTATTGCTTCGGCAGAGAGATCTAGCAGCCTCCCCACTATTTGGCAAACCACTACTGTGTAGCACAAGATCAGGCTCTATGGGCAGGATCGGATCTTTCAAGTGATTTTATCCCAAAAACATAAGTGTTTGCTGCACTTTTGCTGTTTGTGTTTGATTGAATGCTTCTTCCACCGGCCTTTCCAGGTCATTGTATGCTTTGTTGTACTCTTACCATATCTCTTACATATCAATCCGTTTGGGCCGGGTGCTCAACGCCTTCATAGATTTAGATCGTCCAGCCAAGGTGAACAACCGACTGCAGCTTTGGAATTTAAAAAGCGGGCAGCTGGTCGAGGCAGAGTCTCAGACGTCCGTGCGGACGATGCGGAAAGGGCAACACTTGGACTTGGACGGTAGGAAAACGGAAAACCATGGAGGGTAGGCCGGGAAGGCCGTGAGGATGGAGACGAAGGGAGGGCCAGGGAGGGAGAAAGATGAAGGAGGAGCCCAGGAGTGGGTCTCACCTAGAGGAGGGAGAGGGGTTGCAGCCACTGGAGCGGGCAGGTAACTACCAGCTACAGCTAAGTAGATTAATTAAGTGGCTGATGAAGCAAGTGTTGGCAACATGATAATGTGGGATCTTAAACTGTCAACTCCTCCTGTCATCAAAACCCTGGTAAACAACGAGAACCAATAGAGCTAACTCCACGACATACCTCGTAGCGGTAGTAGTATGTATATTAAAAAACAAGGGAATTCCATTGGAATTCCTTCCTTTATTTCCTGTCAATTGCCATCATTGCCACTTGGAATTCCAAAAAGGAAATCGAAGGAGAAGCGATATTCAATAGGCAATCAAAGGAGAAAACCAGCGCTGTGAGCGTGTGCGTTTTGCACTGTTTCCTGCAGATGCCTTTTTTACATACACTTTTGCATTGACTATGCCAAATCAAAGCGTGCTTCCTGCAGATACCAATCTTGCAGAGACAAGGCTTGGGGTAGACCAAACATATCAAATACAAATCCTGTAGAGAATTAGTTCCCCACCGAACATGCAAATATATATATATATATATACATATACTGTAATGCCAACACTGGATTAATCACCCCCCCTTCAAAGTCAACAAGATCAACAAGGTTTGAGATGCGAGGTATTGGAGACCACATCCCCTTAAATGTTATGACCTGATGATAGATGATGGTTGGTGGGATTCTGTGTGAACACTGAGGCCTGTGTGAGGGGTACCCTTTGTGAGTTTGAACACGTTAAGATGTTGTTAGAGTTTTAATAAGGGAAAATGAAAGTCTTTTGCTAGATTCATTTTTAGGGATTGTGGAACAAAGATTGCTAGGGAGAACATTTGCAGCTTAGGTTGCAACTTTAAACAATATATATACTAATGAACTGCTATTTCGTGTGTGTTCTTTTTCTCTGGGGCCGGCCCAAGAAAGTACTGATTAGACTGATGGAAATGTGGAATTCAGGTTTTAATTAGTTTAGTATTGGGGGCTCGAGCTGGGCTTGATTAATAGGGGAGGTTACTTAATCCTGTGTGCGCAATAGACTTAGAGGAATAGTTGGCCTCATATGCCCAAGTTATTGTATTTTATTACGGGTAATTTGCAAAAGCAAAGGGCGGAAGTTTCAATAAAAGCAAGGAAACTACAGTACAGTAAAGGAAGAAGTTCGTCGTTTTGCGACAAGCACTCGTCCTCCACTGCTCAAATTGCTGCAAATCAGGCAAACTCCGAACATTAGAAATGTGCAAGCTTTGTTCTTGAAATCATCCTTGCTGATGGCATAGGTGAATTTTCACCCAAGATCAAAGATGAGCCCTTCAGCTTTTGCACAGCCACCAGGAATTTGATCATGCAAAAAGCAAAAAAAAACTGATAAAGCTGGCTATGTCTTCCAAGTAGGACAAAGTGGAGGTGGCCTTCATTGCATCCAAATAATCATGCAATTTCTTCCCCTTTCGTACTTGTTTAACATGCACATCATCAGCTCCGCTTCAGTGGGCGACGCTGCAATGCTTGTGCCTGTGTTCAATTCACTTCGGAGAAGCTGTGGTAGCCATGGGCATGCAACTTCAACCTGGTGCTGGATAATCTTCCAGGTCCACTCATCTTTCAGCATCTGGCTGAAATACTCATCATTGAACTTGATTATGATGACCTCCGAGGCCGAGGTCATTGGCTGTAGCTCTTCCATGCAGCTCTGGCAATTCCCATGCCACACACTGCGACATGTGGCTGCAAGAAAAAGTCCTGAATCTTGCTTTGCCACTCACAGGAGCAAGTCTTTTGTTTGAGCTTGCAACCAAGGTTTTCATGCATTCCTATTGTTCTTCTTTCAAGCGTGTGTTTTGGGATACTTCAAATTTAGGCTATCTTTAACCTTGCTTGACTGCCAGCCCATTTTCAAGACTTTCAGTCCTGTCCCGTGACGGGCATGGCTGTTGAGCATGATCCCACTCCTGTCTTGGTCATGCACAGTCAAAAGGCTTGGGTGCACCAGCTGTTCATACATAAGCTTTCTTTGCCCAGAAATGTTCAACATCCTTTTGGCTTTGGCATTGGTTGCTGGTGGGCTATCATCTCTGATGGCTTCACATGCAGCCATCGCAACTGATTGCGTCCGTGGCTGCAGCACACGCACGCTAAAGGCTTCACAAACTTAAAATAATGAGCTTTCAAGACCAACCCACACTGGAAAACACGCATTCACAGAGGAGGCTACACAGGCCTTCTGAAGCGCAAACAAAGCCTTCACGGGCACATTGTGGCATTGACATACAAGACCCATCCATTTGTGCATACTTGTACGGAATGACAATGCACCGCATGCAAGAATTGTCAAACACTTGCCAATGCATTTGTGCCAGCTACGGAAACAGATTATATGATTATATAGTTTATTTACATGATTGCAAAACACAAATTTCATGGTTATTTGTTCGGTATATTGATGATTTTAACTTGTTGGCAACATTTGGCAACCTATTAACTAGTCAGGCTAGAATAGCTAAAACATAACTAATTGTGATAACGTTTTAAGATAATTAGTGCATTCAGTCAACTCTTAGTTATATAGTTGCTTTACCCATCAAAAAATATGTTAGATCACATAAATAGGTTCAAACATGTCAAAGACCGGTTGTCAATAGATGATTTATTGCTGAATATCATGCATAAACATCAATACCTACACGGCCATCCAAGTGGCTCCTCACTTAGCTAGCTCTTCACTCTAACTCGCGGACTTATCTACTGGTCCACGCTAACTGTTGCCTGCGCAAACTATTGCTTGAACTATTGAACTGTTCGTAACTATGGAAGTTTCTTAACTGACTAAACTTCCTTTGAATATGATATTGCTTTTTGATCGCTTGACATTCATGTTTGAGCTGGTCAAGCTCTTGGGCCATGTCAACCCAGGTTTGTTGTTGTTGTTGTTGGCGCACTCCATTAATAACATAGTTTATTTGTTGTGTTCTTCCCGAATGCGTAGCGAAGGGTTCTCGTTTAACTCTGGGGGTCTGGGGGTCTTGTTCGCGACGCGTTGTCTCAGCGTTCGCAACCGTCCGCAACCGTTCGCAACCGTTCGCGGTAGAGCGCTAAGGCGCTGCCATTGGGGGAAGCTTTTGGAGAGGGTTTCGGATGGAAACGTGACTTGTCAGATTCGTGTGAAATAGCGAGGAATCGTGTGGAAATGTAAGATGTTGAAGTGTGGAGAATGATTTCAATGCGCAGGCGCAGCGTTTTGTGAGATCCGCAGTTTTCTGCGTAGTTTCATTGGGGCTTGCGTTTGGAGAGTGGTGTTTTTGGGGTGTTGGTTTCAGGGTGTTGCATCGAAGCTCTGTTTTCGTGACAAGTCTCAGCTGAAGTGGCGATTTTGGTGGATGGGAGTGTGCTCAGAACGGGTCGAAATCATTCCAAACGTGTGGTGCCGCGGTGCAAATGTTGTTGAAGCTCACATGATGTGATATTGTGACTTTTCGTGGCAGGCGCAGTACTTTGCACGGCTTTTGAGGTATGGAAGTGCGATTTTCGTGGCAGGCGCATTACTTTGCACGGCTTTTGAGGTATGGAAGTGCGATTTTCGTGGCAGGCGCAGGGAATCGTGGAGTTGCGAGGTGTGACGGAGGTGACATTTCGTGGCAGGTGCCGGGAATCGTGAGGTTGTGAGTTGTGGTGGAGGTGACTGTTTGGAGGGGCTGGAATCGCAAAACTGCTTGGCAGGGCTGCTTGATGTGTGTGTGTGTGCTCCGATGGGTGTTTCCGCTTGACTTTTGGAAACGCTTGTTTTGCAGACTTTGACATGTGAGTTTTTGAGGAAGTCTCGTACGAAACGCTCGTTTTGCAGACTCGAAGCGTGACTCGAAGCCTCGCCTGTGCCGGCGTGTCACTGGTGAGCGGGATGATTGATATCGTGTGATAACATCTTTGCTTCTAGTGGGTGGCCGACCGTGTGGCGAAATTACATTCGTGATGTCGCAGTGCCATGTGGATTTGCGCGGCCTTGGTGGGAAGTGCGTTTGCGTGGCGCCGTCCCGCTGGGGAGGGCGAAGCATGCTGGTGTAAACGCGGCGTGTCGCTGGTGAGCGACAAAAGCGTCCCACAAGAGTGTCCTAGAATTGAGATCGCCTAAGTAGGTAGAGCCTGAAGGCCATGGAAACAATTATTTTTACATCAAGTGGCTGCCAAAAAATGCGATTGAAAATGCGTTGATTGAAAAAATGTGATTGCTAGAGTAAGAAAATGCGATCGAAAATGCGATGTTCTGAAAAATGCGATTGCTAGATGTTAAAAATGCGATTGAAAATGCAATGTTGAAAAAAATGCGATTGCTAATGTCAAAAAATGTGATCCAAAAATGCAATGCAATTAAAATGCGATTGCTTGCTGCAAAAATTACGATTGAAATGCACCGCCAACAAAAGGCGCCTGGGCTCTTTACAAGTGTGCAGCTCAAACGCATTTCTTTTGGCGATTGCGCAGTCCAAACGCATTTTTTTTGCGATTGTACAGCCCAAATGCATTTTTTTTGCGATTGCGCAGCCCAAACGCATTTTTTTTGCGATTTGGCAGCCCAAACGCATTTTTTTGGAAGAAAAATGCGATTGACAATCCCAATCGCACTTTTTCGCAAAAAAAAATGCGCCGCGCCCGGACAAACGCATTTTTTCGTAAAAAAAATGCGCCGCGCGCAGACAAGTGCATTTTTCAATCGCATTTTTGCAACCTCCGCAGCAAGACCTTATCGCAACGCATTTTCAAAACGCATTTTAAATGCGATTTGAGGCGACAAACGCATTTTAAATGCGATTTGTCAATCAAATCGTATTTTTTTTGCGCCATGGAAGAGTGGTAAATTTGCGTACGCGTGCAAACGCATTTTTCACGCCAGCCATATGTCCAAGGTCGCGGGAAACGTATTTTTCCGGGGCAGAGTTGGGGACGAGCCCGGAAGCGAGCTGAGAACGATGTTTGCTTTTGTCCTGTCCTTCGGTCCTTGTCGTCCAGCTAGCAAGCTGGCAGTCTGGGTTGGTTGGGGTGTTTACGTCTATTTTTGGTTTGCAGGACAGCACTGGGGACATAGGTTGTCCGAAGCAGCCAGACAAACAAATGTGACCCAAAATCCAATGCAAAAACACCATTGCTCGCTGCAGTCAAAGTACGCGTCAAAATTCAATACCAAAAACGAGCGTTGAGGCTGCTGCCCCACCTGATGTCTATAGAGAACACTTGAAAAGCCTTGGCCTTTGATTGCGCTTAGTGGCGTGCCCACACGGCGAACAATTAGGAAGTTGTGATACTTGCAAGCTTTCTATTTTTTCAAAGTGTTCCAGGGCTGCGTTCCCACGTGGGGACTGGCTCCCAAGGTGCATTTTGGATCCTATTTTTTGAGCCATGGGAAGTGAACAAATAATTCCCAACAGAGCTACAGAGCCTACCTAGGTTAGGCAATCTCAATCCTAGAAGAGTGTCCCACAAGAGTGTCTCGTAAGAGTGTCCCACAACAAGAGTGTCCCATAAGATTGTCCCACAAGAGTTTCCTACAAGAGAGTCCCGTAAGAGTGACGCACAAGAGTGTCCCACAAGAGTGTCCTACAAGAGTGACCCACAAGAGTGTTCCACAAGAGTGTCCCAAAAGAGTGTCCTACAAGGGGCGGTTACTCGTTTTTGCACGCGTTCGAACAATCGTTTTTGCACACGGATCGACTTGCTCGTTTTTGCACACAGACTGTTTGTTGCAACGTTTGTTTTTAGAACACACTCAATGTTTGTTTTTCGCGCACGTCTTGGAAACTTTAAGACTGATTTTGAGCTCTGATCGATGGACACCTGGGCCGATCCACTAACACAAGTCAACAACACTCGTGAGAGCAGCAAAAAGTTCAGCAGACAGTGATTTCAGTTTCGAACAGGGTGTGTGTCTACACCTGTACCAAAGGATGCTATATTGCCTGTTTCCAAACTATAGTTTTAATCCACAGCCAGGGGGTAGCGGCAGATCATTTGGGACCGCTACCAACGAAGACGCCCATTTGATCTGGTGACATCAGAGCTGGCCACTCTGACGTACCTGCGCCAAGTGTTTGAACCCTCATTAAACTGCTAACGAGTTTCTTTTGTTTCACCCATGTTCAACAAGTCTTTTCTCCGACCCAGCAGTCTTGCAGCTGCTTGAAGTCAAGGTCTAACTGCATGTGAAGGTCTACCGAGCAGTAAAGTGGAACTTCATCAACTGCAGATTTAGCTCTTGCGAGCATCAATCTAAATGTGTGTGTGTGTGTAAAGATGTTGACCTTGTCCAATCTGGCAACCCTTTCAGCACTTCAGAGTCACACTGTTTGGTTGGCAACTGCAACCCCCCCCCCCCCCCACCCAACCCGCTCATTATAGTTTGCGTGTGCAGATGAGTTTGCGTGGCAGAAGAGTGCTTTGAAAGGCAATCAAAAGTAAGTGTGTGTGTGTGTGTGTGTAAAGATGAGCTAGAAAACGTGTGCGTGTGTAAAGATGAGTACGATTTGTGTGCGAATTTGAGTTAGATTTCAGGGGGGGCCTGTGTGCGAATATGAGTTGGATCTGTGTGCGAATATGAGCGGCCACCCCCTACAAGAGTGTCCCACAGGAGTGTCCCAGAAGAGTGTCCCACAAGAGTGTCCTGTAAGAGTGACCCACAAGAGTGTCCTAAAAGAGTGTCTCACAAGAGTGTCCCGCAAGAGTGTCCTATAGCCTATAAGAGTGTCCTACAAGAGTGCCCCACAAGAGTTTCCTACAAGAGTGACCCACAAGAGTGTCCTACAAGAGTGTCCCGTAAGAGTGTCCCACAAGAGTTTCCCACAAGAGTGACCCACAAGAGTGTCCTACAAGAGTGTCCCACAAGAGTGT